CCCCTTTAAAGGGGCCACCTTGCATGTAGAAGGTATTAAAAAGGATTTAGAACTTTAAGGATAGTTAGTACTCGCAAAATGAAGAAAAAATGTCCTAATAAACTTGGGTCCGAAAATGAATGTTGTCGGAGTTATAAGCAATTTTCCGTTTCAATTAAAGTCAAGAACTTGCTTGCTTCTGGTGCTCTCGAGCGGTACTGAATGGATTATTTTATCATTTATTTATTCAAAAGAAAAAAAAGAGAAGAATTGTTCAAACTCCAAAGTTTACGTGCGTATGTATGCATGTATGTGTGTGGGAGAGGGATGGGTTGGTATGGATGGATCTATGGTACATGTGTGTGCGTGTGCTTGTGTGTGTGTATGTATATATATCTACATGTGATGTGTTGGCAAATATTTTTTTGTATATGTATGCGCGCGTGCATATTCTAATAAAGCAATGGAATTTTGTATTGCAGATGATCTTTTGGATCAGTTGTCCTAGTTTCTTCTATGTTTGGGACAGACACTGACAATATGGTAAAGACATTTAACAAAATGCTATATTATTTGTTAATGAGTTTAAGAATACGATTATAATACGAATTTGTGGGTCTCAATGTTGAGAAATCTATATGAATGATTATTTTCAGGATACAATATGGCTTCAGTACTTTGGCATGTATCTGGGAATAGTTTTCTTTCACCAGTCTTTCTGTTACTCTTGCTATTGTGTCCACACGAGTCCACAGGTCAGTAAAAACACACGTAGCATCATTAAGATTATGCAAATTGGCATCAGATTCAATCAGAAACTTACACCAAAACCATAGCTATTTGTGACCGCATTTGGCTTTTGTTCTGGCAACAGAGTTTATAAAACATATATGTTGTTAACAGATTGTGGGCAGAAACCGAGCAGGAACTGCGCGTCGCAGTTTGATGGCAGATTGGCAGGAGAAACTGGGCAGAATCGCCGTTTCTATTTCTTTCTTTTTCGTTCTTTTTATTACAAAAATGCATAAAACTAATAAGTAGTGAAGTTTCCAGTAAGGTTTCTACACACTCGTAGACAAGAGAGTTCACTTCAGTACTAGAAAGTAGAGCTCCCTAGTACTACGTGTACTAGACTACACGTGTAATCCGTATTTAACTTATCCGTGTTTTAACCCGTGTACACGAATTTAAAGAATCTTCATTTACGTGAATCCGTGAACACGTGAATGTGACACGTGTTCACGAATATCCGTGAACGTGATACCGTTTCACGAATATCCGTGAACGTTATACGTTTTCACGAATATCCGTGTATGTGACATATGTAAACGTGTAGCCGTATATACCTCAGTAGGGAAATATTTAGAGAATTGTGTGACAAAATTGGGATAAAACTTGGAATTTGGGAATTATGCGTATACATATGTCGAACAACATATGCAGAAATAGAGATCTTTCAACAAATTTTAATAAATATTTGCACACGTTTACACGTATCACACATTCACGGATATTGGAGTGTCACATACACGAACATTCGAATACACGTGTCACATAGACGACTATGCATGTACATACACGTGTCACGTACACAGGTACACGTGATTGAAGGTATCTTAAATCCGTGTACACGGATTACGTGTACACGTGAATCTTAAAACACATATCCAATCGAGAGCTCTACTAGAAAGATGATCAAAGAATCTTATGTAGATGTGTTAATTTATAATACCGCGTGTGGTATTTTCTTCTTACGAGGAAGTGTCATGCGCACGTCTATTTAGCGGGATTGTTACAATATAAATCGCCAACAAACAACGAAGTTTGCCACTAATCTGCCGACAAGTTATGTCAGCAAATTCTGCTCGGTTTCTGCTGCAATCCATCGCCACGTTGCGTGAGCAGGATCTGTTCGATTTCTGCCGCCAATCTGCTGTCTAAATATGTTATTAAGCTTTGTTATATTCCTGTTTATGTTCTGCCGACATCATGTGATATATGAACCTGAGCTTGAAATTTCGATATTTTAGACCAAAATATAAAAACGTATATGTTATAGCATAACCGTCTTGTTTATTGCTACAGTTGTATTGCTAAGTTTGTTGTACGATGAAGAGTCATTATTTTGTACTCCTAATCCGAGTTAAAGCCCCTGTTGAATCCAAGATCGGAAAAGGGAAGGACAGACAAAATGTTAAAAATTAGCATTTTGACTATGTTACACATACACAGTAAAAAAATGAAATGTTATTTTTAACATTTTTCACATGTCCCAAAAAGTCCACTCTAAATTTTAAAATTAAATACCATTTCTCGCGTGTTACTTGTTAACAAATAATAAATGTTAATTAATTAACTTTATACTTCACATTTATGTTTGTTCTTTTAATATAGAGTGTGTTGTAATAAAAACAGGCAGGATCAGTAAATTGTATGCATAGTTACAAATTAGAGTAGTTAAAATAATTGTTTAGAAATATCAATGTTACATTTTGGTTCGTCTGAAGTGAATGAGAAATTGGTATATCTTAACATGATTCTTCAGTTACCTCTGCTTTTTTATTTTTATTAATTACAATAACATGTATGAAATGTTAATTTTTAACTTAAAAAATATGTAAGTTTTAACATATATTGAAAATAATTCTGACAAATATAACATTTTTTAATGTTAAAATTTCAACACAAGAACATTTAAATTTTAACATTATTTACAGTAATCTAAAGTACATGACAGTATTAATACGTAAATGTTTGTGTTAATATTTTGACATTAAAATATGTAAATTTAAAATATTTGAGGAAAGGATATTTCTAAAAATAAAATGTACTCTCATTAATTTTATTGCACACTAATTTACAAAAGAATACAAATATATTCAATATATTCAATATATTCAATATATTCAAACACCAAGTAGAAATAAAAATAATTTGACACATTTGATAATAAAACTAATCGACAATTTTATGATTTTTTGTATCCTAAATATTTTACATAAAGTTTTACAACTTTGGCATACAGCATATGGTTTTGAATCGTATACAAATAAAGAAACTACTTTTAAAAAATTAGATCAATTTTCAATAAAAGAAGTACAAATAAAATTATTAACTTCAATCTGATTTCCAAATAATTCAACAGAAATTCCAAAACATATTCTTATTGTACATCAGCTTTTAATTTTAAAAACTTTGAAATAATATGAAAATATGTGTTATTTCCGATTGTAACAATATTACATTTTTAAGCAAAGAAAAACAGTGAAAAATATTGCAATTGTTCCATTTAAAGCATTTCCTGTTGATGGCGGTAAACAAGAGTTTTGCAAACGTCTTTATAATTTTTTAATTTTTTTGAGAGATTTTTTATAAATCTTGTTAGAGGAGATGGATCGGTAGCGTTCGGGAAAGAACACCCATGTGGGAAATGGCTACCGGCAAAATAATGGTCTAGTACCGGTTTCTAGTACTGACAATGAGTATTGGCACTGTACTAGATGCCAATATTATACTGGTGTGATACTGGTGAAATACTGGGATGATAGAATTGGGCCAAGACTCAAATTACAGTACTATTCTGTAGCGGGATTCTGTAACTCATTAACGACGAATATCGCTGTCGTTAACTATCGATGTCGATGATTATCGCTAAATGTTATTCTGCAACTACCAATTATCGACAAATCTCGATAATTGAAATCGTTAAAATTCGAAAAGTGTCGATGCCGTATTGATACTTTTGCGATCGATACTGGAGGTCTCGCTAAGCCGTTAACGATAGTTTGTGATAAGTGTGTATGAAATATATGCATACGTGTAAGGTACGGTAAACGGTAATACGGATTAAAAGTAAGTATATATACTTCCACGTTCCTTGAACTTTTATCTTAATAATTTGTATATATGTATACAATAGGGGTATTCAGATAAAAGAAATTAAGTTAAGTTCAACGGTTTGACAGGTTATGTGGGGTTAAAAGCAGTATTTCTCAACACTTGATTGGTTTCCAAGCTGCTTTTAACCCGACATAACTTGTGAAACCGTTAAACTCAACTTAACTTTTATCTGAACTCTTTTATCTGAATACTCCTATTATTATATTTCGAACTGTTACAATAATATTTAAGTGGTAGAAATTAATCTACCTATGCTGTTTAAATATTGGTTTAAGAAAAAATTTTCTTCTATGTATTTTCTTCTAAGTCCGTGGTTTTAAATGTCACAATATAACAAGATTTGGTTTCTCTAATAAAATAAGGTCTTAATTTTTTATTTTAGGATGGCTCTCGGCTATCTTGCGTTAGATTTAATGGATATGGAAGATCGTATCCAACGCCTTGAACGAAGGGCACAACGACAAGTGCTGCGAATAACAGAAGATCCGTTTGATTTGACGCACAACGAATTTAGAGAGCTGTACCGCCTAACACCGGATTTAATGTTTGATCTTGTCGATATGTTAGAACCTCGTTTGCAGAGGACAAGGATTACCGGGCTGTCGACAGAAAAGCAAGTAAGAAAACTTGTAACCATATATTTGTGTTTTATAATATATCTTAATTTGTTTATGGTATTCGTATATTTATTCATATGTATGTACATTTCATACATATATTTTATATGTATAGATATTAGCGGCAGTGAGATTTTACGCAACCGGCTGCTTTCAACGCCCTGTGGGTGAGCAGTGGGGCATTTCTATGAGCCAGACATCGATTAGCAGATGTATACATAAAGTGACAGATGCGATCAATGATTTGATATTCAGACACTAGCTGCGTTCGGTATTGCAAATCCGAGCCGTCAGAGTGCTCTTTTACCTCTCAAATCGTTCGGAAATGCACATCTTTTTACTCTGTGTCATCTCATCTGTGTTCGGCATTAGTAGTTTCAGAGCAAATCGAGCTCCTCGATTCGCTCTGAATTCAAAGACCGAGCTCACAGAGGAGATGCTTGTTTTGCGCGCGAAAAGGTATGTTGGTTAAGGCCACAGTCAAGCTGCCGCTACAAATACTTCGAAGTATTTTTCTACTCCTCTCTTTCAATAAAGATAGAAGAAGAAAGAAACACTTGGAAGCATTTGTAGCGGCAGCTTGACCGCAGCTTAAGTGAGGTTAGAGCCTGTTCGATGTAGACTAGGCCTGTCTGTTCTAGGTTATTGTAAGATTTAGCGCACAACAGGATTTAACGTCTAATAATGTCTTCAAAGAATGTTGAATTATGTTATTCCAAAAATATTGGAGATGGAGGAATATTTGAGATATTGGATATTGACGGGGAAAAATATTTACATAATAAAAAAGGTAAATTCTTTGTTACTGAACTTTTGGAATACTTAAAGTTTCCTTTTCATCATCGCTATCTTCAAAAAATACATCTCGAGCAAAATTTAACATAACACAAATCGTATAGTTGTCTTCCATCGTATATCCAACTTAACCTAACCTCATCTCATTCAATCAGAAACGCTAACAATTCTAAAATAAAAGAGTGAAAAACGATATATAGACAAAATCAAATTACAAACTAAAATTAGTTGACATAAAAATCCTGATTTCTAAAACTTGAAACAATACCATAATAATTACAGCCGATGAACGTCCTTAACCAGCTCTGAGAGCTCTGAAATCGTTCAGCATTGAGATTAGTGCTCGGCTTGCTCGGAGATCACGTGATTCAAGCTCGACATCTGCTCGCTCGCATCTCAGATTTTTTTGCCGAACGCAGCTAGTGGGTACAATTCCCCATAACTCCAGGAGCCAGACAGCTAGCGAGGATGCAATTTCAAAATGCACGTCAGCCATTTGAAGGAGCTATCGGAGCGATTGACTGCACTCAGCAATTCTTAGCAATTCTTGGTCCTAAAGACCATGAAGAAGCCTATATTAATCATCATGGGTATCCTTCGCTGAATGTGCAAATGGTAAATATTTGAATTATTATAAACTTCTTACAATGTGTTTAATGTATTAATGACTAATTACATTCAATGATTGATCTCTTACAGATATGTGACCCAAATTTAAAAATACTGAATGTAAATGCAAGATACCCCGGAGCACGGCACGATTCATATATGTATGTATATGGAATGCCTCTGCTGCTCGACAAGTGATACGCGCATATAATCGTGGTGAACGACATACGTATCTTATTGGTAATTGTTATTTTAATTTTTTATACATAATATACCGCGCGCGGAAAGCTTTTATTAGTTTATAATATAGTATTTTTTAGTTTATATTATCAGTTTATAATTTATACATTATATACCTTACATTTGTTCTAATACATAAATTCTTTATTATTGTATCAAAGAACTTTAAACAGAGCTGAAATAAATCTTACATATATGTAGGAATATCACAACTCTTTATTTCGGAACTTAACTTATTACATCGAGGTCTCTGCTTGTGCCTACTCGCAATGGCTAGCGACGACTGACTCTCGTGTCCGCTTTCTCTCTCTCTAGCACGCGCTCGCACTCATTCCTCTGTCTCTTTTCGCCATGCCGCTAATACACGCGAGCGGCGCTTCACGCGCCTCTCTCACCGCACGCCAAACTTAAAATAACGAACAGTTTTACTTAAATCTACGCCTTTATACCTACACGGCCGTCCTGCTATTCATCCGACCAGGATGAACGCTGACCGGTTGACCACGGTTTCATAAATTCGGCACATGTTGATGTCGCCATCGGTCCTTCATTTAATCCTACCTTCTCGACATCATAAGTGTTATTTGTTTTAGTCTTAATGACACGATATGGTCCTAAATATGTTGCCCTTAATTTACGCCCTGGACCCATTTAGGTACGCTTTATCGCCACTAAATCGCCAATCTTATATTGAGACGCTTTTTTCCGTTTGCGATCGTATGTTTTACGATTTTCTTCCTGTACTTTTAAAAGTTGTTCCTTTGCTTTTCTACGCAGGTTCTCACGATCCTCATCGAATTGAAGTACAAATTCCTTTTCGACCAACTCTTTTAAAAAGATATCCTCTTTATCGCGCATCTTTACGCCGAATAACAATTGGAACGGAGTCATTCCTATACTACGCTGCCACGTCGAATTTAGTATACTTTGTAATCTTGGGATGAACTTATACCACTTAGTAGGGTCATCGATTGAAAGTTTCGCAAGTACGGGTATAATGGTCCTATTTAATCGCTCGATTTGTCTGTTGGCTCTGGGAAGCCCAGTAGTGACAGTCACATGTTTTATATTTTCGCTTGTACAATACTCTGCGAACTCGTGCGACGTAAACGCCGACCCTTTGTCAGACACAATCTGAACAGGATTTCCAAAAACACTCTTTTGTAAGTTTAACTTATCTAAGACTTCACGCGTCGTCGTCGATTTTGTAGGATGTAGCCAAACGAATTTACTAAAACTATCTATTACAGCAAAAATATGATTATAACGTTTACTAGTCGTTTCTAGAGGACCCAAGTGATCCACGTGATAAGTATGTAACGGAACGCTGTCCTTGTTAAGTGGATGCAAGAAACCTTCTTGCTTTCCTTCTTTTCGGTTCATCATAATACAAGGAACACAGTTTCCGATGTATCGTTCAACCTTACATCGAAGATCCGATATAAAATAATCTTGGCTAATTATTTCCTCGGTTCGTTTAGTCGCAAAATGTCCCTTCTGATGAGCTGTCTGTATTATGTCAGTTTCTATATCCTTTGGAATTACTAACAACTCTCGGCCATCCACAAACTTATACAACAACCCATTGCGCATACAATAATTTCCGTAAGCTTTCTCCTTCAAAATTTCTATAATCGCTTTACATTCTCCGTCTTCTTCTTGCCCTTTCGATATTCTAGGTATTATAAAGCTTTTACTTATCAATGTAACCGCATATCTACTAAGCGCGTCGACATGTCGCATTCGCGTCCCAGACCGATGTTCGATCATATAATTAAAATCCTCCAAAAAGAGTACCCATCTAGCAATTCGAGGTATCAAGTCTTGCTTGTTTATTGTTCGCTGAAAGGCGGCGCAATCGGTCACTATTTTAAATCTAATCCCTAGCAAATAGATCCTTTTCTCCAGTGCTTTTACCACGGCGAGCGCTTCGAGCTCGTAACTACTATACTTTTCCTCTTCGGGTTTCGTTTTATGGCTCATATAATACACCGGATGTAGGTTTCCGTCAATAGGAGATCTTTGCATTAGTACAGCTCCATATCCATATTTAGAAGCGTCAGTATGCACCTCGGTTTCGTAATTCGGGTTATATATATTTAAAACAGGACTATCAGTCAGAGCTCTTTTCAACTCGAGAAATGCTCTCCTTTGTTCGTCATCAAATCGAAACTTTTCGTCCTTTTTAAGTAGATCGCTTAAAGGCTTTGCTATGACAGAAAAATGGGGAATAAATTTGCGAAAATATCCGGACAACCCCAAAAAACTTTGCACGTCTTTTAGTCTCTGAGGTTTCGGAAAGCTAGCTACGGCTTTTATTTTATCTTCGGATGGATAAACTTTACCCGCTTCTATTACATGCCCTAAGAATTCTATCCGTCTTTGTAGAAATTTACATTTCTTAAAATTAATATTGAGACCGTACTCACTGGCAACCTCTAATACCTTTTCCAAGCGTGTCAAGCACTCCTGTTCATTTGGAGCAGCAATAATCAAGTCATCTAAATATGTTCTAGCTAATCCGCGAAAGATATGGTTAATAAACCGTTGAAATACTGCTGGCGCGTTACATATCCCGAATGGCATCTTTATAAATTGGTATTGACCGTCATGAGTAACAAATGCCGTATATTTTCTACTGTTCGTCTCGACCGTTACATGAAAGAATCCACACTTCAAATCAATTGAACTAAAAACAGATCCGCCTTGTAGTTCATCTAATATTTCCTCGATTAAAGGTAGCGGATATTTATCTTTCTCAACAACTCTATTTATTTTACGAAAATCAATACAAACGCGATGACCTCCGTCTTTTTTCTTCACGACTACAACGGGACTTGCATACTCAGACGAACACGGTTCTATGTATAACTCCTTCTCTGATCCAGTCATCGACTTGTTTGCTTACAACGTCTCGCTCAGGTACCGGTAATCTACGCGGTTTTTGACAAATCGGAGTTTCATCCTTAAGTACTAAACGCATTTTTATATCAGTCGTCTTAGTTTCCTTAGGTACATACGACACAATTAAGTTTTCCAGTCGTTCGCGCATTTTTACATCTTCGACATGTCCTACATCTATTTGTTCGTCATTTATCCGAATTTGCGTTAAGAACTTAACAAGCGGAATTTTGCGTATCTGGATACCCTCTGTATCAATCTTTACTTCTGCCGAACTCAAAATATCGCAACCGACTACAACTCCCACGCTCATTAAACTCGTAGGTACGACATAAACGGTACTTGGAAATTCCCCGCCATCAATTTGAACAATAGTCTGAAAGTAACCCAATGGTCGCGTCTCGTTCTTACCAAAACCAATCAACAGAGTATCAGTGTTACGTAACTGGCTCATTGGCAACTCGGTATCAATGAATATATCTTCGCGTAATACAGTAACCTGGCTACCTGTATCGATTAAAGCTTTTACGCGTACGTTATTAACGACTATATCTTTACACATATTGACTTTAGATGTACCAGCAATATTATTAGCCAAATCGCACGTTTGAACCGATGCCGATTCTTTAGTCTCACCTTTTTTTTCGCATTCAGCCGCCGTATGTCCAAAAGCCTGGCACTTAAAACAACGTTTACCTAATGATTTGTTACCGCAGTCCTTAGAAATGTGTCCTTTCGCCCCGCAGTTATAGCAACGTACGTCTGACTTCGCGTCCTTCCTCTCGGTTGTCTTCTTTGATGCATCCGTTGTCCCTTTTGACACATCCACTGTCCTCTTCCCTGAATTAGCTCGTCTCGTGGCGTCGTCCTTTCCCTTACTGTTCTTCATCTGGTCACGCCCCTTCCGACGAATGTCCTCGTATATTTTAAGACGTTCCTTAAAATCTCGTTGATTCTTCGTTCCAAACAGTATAATTTTATTCTGCATGTCGTCTTGTATGCCATCTATCACGTACTGAATGAGCGCGTCCTGTTCTATTTCGCCTCTGGATGCCAACTCCTTCATAACAAGATAATTCGCTCATAGAAGATCCTCTCGACAAACTCAACCAAAAAGAATTGATATACAAAATTGAATGTAAGGATTGTGACGCTTGTTATGTAGGACAAACGAAACGACACCTAAAAACACGTATAAAAGAACATGAGGCCAATATCAAGAGAGAGCATAGTGCACACTCAGTGGTCAGCAAACACCGTGAAACTCTACATCATGATTTTAATTGGTTGAACACTAAAATATTACATACGGAGAAACACACAAAGAAACGAGAAATCGCTGAAATGATCTTCATAAAGAAAGAAAACAAGTCTATTAATTTACAGAACGACACAGACAACCTTTCCAAGATATATGATAAGATAATACGAATTTTATAAACATTAACGTCCGTTCGTGCTCTCCCCCTTGCCATTACAGTCTAAACCACGGAAGTGTGCGCTGTGATCGTCTCGATATACTCTCAGATGTACGGACATATGGATCCTGCTTGTTACTCGAATCCAAAGAACCGAATTAATTAATTGATGAACATTACGTGTGAGTTAGAAAGACATTTTCAATTTATATTCTAAAAGATAATTAGTCCTACAGTTAAGCCAATACAAAAACCTTACAATAGATTCATAAACATTGCGTGCGTTTTACAAAGACATTAAACATATATTGAAAAAAACTAATTTATAATTATAATGTTATAGATAAGACTTATTGCTGCCACAATAACTTGTTATCCGTAAATGCTTGTCTCTTAAACTAACCTGAAGAGGACTGCGATTTGCAGTCGAAACGTCGTTATTTTGAAAAATTAAATATAGCCAGTTATGTCGAAACAATGGATTGATTATTGATTTAATTACTGGTGAACAAAAACATTACCAACAACATTTTAATATATATTAGATTTATATTAGATAGAACTGGTATAAAAATATAATATGTATATGGTAGCGCGAATCACATTTGGCGAAAAAGTAGTTACAGCATTTCTTCGAATTTTCTAGGACCTGCTTGTGGTCAGAAAAGAAAAAATATATTAAAATGTAGTAATAGTTAAAGAACAATATTATTTATATAAAATAAAGAGGTATACAGGGTGAGGCATTTAAAACTGTTTTTCAGAATATTTGGAAAAATACAAATCGGATTAAAAAAAAGTTGCAATAAAAGTTGTTCACCTTGAAGAGGGTCATCCATTAACATAAAGCTCGACCCCCCTGCACCACCCCCGGGGGCGGGAGGGGGGTGACTTTGAAATCTTAAATAGAATCCCCTATCTTTTATTGCAGATTTGGATTCTCCTTGAAAAAATATGTAACTTTTGTATGAGACATTTTTTTCGTTTCATGATGGCGCTGTAATCGGCAAAAATGAAAATTAGTTGAAAATTGTTGAAAAATGGAATATCTAAAAAAAATACACATCAGATTAGGAACATCAAAGTAAGTTTTTTGATATTTTTGAAAATGCTATCATGTGACACCGTCTACCCTCCTGCAATGCATTCTTAGACTACTTTTAGCTTTACCCAGGAACAACGACGTGGACGTAGTAGTAATTTGTTCCCTTCGGGGTGCTTGATTACTGTGAGTCCCCTTGCCTCTCACTATCTCGGGGTGCTTGATTACTGTGAGTCCCCTTGCCTCTCACAAGTGTTTCATTGAAGCAAATGTTCGAAATGATGTCCGTTGTTTCTAATGCACATTGCAACTCTGTGTCTGAAAGTGTCTGAAATCCGACATTTATAAGTGTCTCTGCGCTAATGTTTGCACATTCATTGATAATTCGCTGCTGCATATTTTCTGGGGTTGTTGGTACATCCATGTAAACTCTCTCTTTTAGCCTTCCCCACAGGAAAAAATCGGCAGAAGTCAAATCGGGTGAACGTGCGGGCCAATTTTGAGGATCTCCTCGTCCAATCCATCGACCCGGATAGTTTTTTTCGATTCAAAACTTCTTGAGATATTTGTGAATAATGCGCTGGGCATCCATCGTGTTGAAACCACATATCCATTCTTGTTTGAAGTGGAACATCTTCCATTAGTATGGGTAAAACATTATCTAAAAAGTCGCTGTACATTTGACCATTCAGATTACCTTCTATGAAGTATGGGCCTGAGTACCTAAAATACTGCACCAAACGTTGACACTCCACGGACGTTGATGTTCAACTTGCCTTAACCAATGGGGATTCTCCACTGACCAATAATGTATATTATGTCGATTCACTTGACCACGATTCGTAAAATTTGATTCATCAGAGAAAAGTATCTGTGAAATGAAATTATCATTGACTGCCAGTTGTTCCTGTATCCAGTTGCAAAAATTCAAGCGATTTTGAAAATCGTCACCATGCAATTCTTGATGCAGCGATAGGGTAAAGGCGGGCATTATGGCCAGGCGGGTAATATGGCCACAACGCCCGTATTAAATATTCTAAACATTGATAAACATCGATAATGTATAAAAACCAATTATTGTAGCTATTCTTGAAGTTTGGTAACAAAAATCTCTCTATTTTGTTGTTATTTGTGGTTTCGTGCTTCATTGTTCTCCATAACCATCAAAATATACACGTCAAAGTGAGACATGGCACTTCCAACTAAGTAAGATTTTCAAATTAAAACAAAATAATTTTGGCTTTTCTCATTACACATTTCAAAACCTGAAACTTGGCTATATTTTTATAATAAATTTATCGTGCTTTGCCCATTATTTTGATAATTATAATGCACATTATTAAATGTATGCTCGGCGGCTAATATGGCCGGCGACAAAGGTAGCTACTATGGCCAGCGAGTACAACAGAGTGTAGTGTACGCCAGTGCTGAGAGTGATAACAGCGAAGAAAGAAAATAGTTATTTCTCACAATTTATTAATAAATTGTGAGAGCATGGCGTTACGTAGAGAGAGTGGACATACACATATACATTTCTTAAATGTGTACTCGTATGTTTAAAATATTTCAAAGTTTATGTTCTGTACGATTAAAGTAATACTTTACGATTAAAGTAAATACCTCACTTTTGCAAAATATTACTGTTTTGTACACTTTTTTTATAGTTGGCCATATTATCCACCCCACGTTTAATATGGCCAAAACGCATACTTTCAGATTCTTTTTTTTTCTTCGAATATGGATAGATTTTAATTGATCAAAACAATTTGTCATCAAAGCTTATTAAATACACTAGAATTTCAGAAAGTTACAAAATAAAAAACCAGCGGTTTGAAAATTATGACCTCAAATCAAAACTATGGCCATAATATCCGCCTTTACCCTAAATGAAATGGATGAAATTTGTGTTCATGCAGTATGCGTAGAACACTTCTTTGAGAAATTCCTGAACCTCGCGTAATTTGCCTAGAACTAATGTGAGGATTTGCAGCAACTGCAGCTAAAACATTCACTGTGTTATTTTCGTTTGTCACAGGCCGCGGTCGGACTCTTTCTCTAGGTTTAACACTTCCAGTTTCAGTAAACAGTTGGACAATACTGCGAAAAGTCATTGCAGAAGGAACATTCCTATCAGGGAACAGATTAGCATACCTTTGACGAGCTTCTTCAACATTTCTATGAGCCTCCAAGTACGAGGAATTGATATCTACTCTCTCTACAATCGTTAACATCGTGGAACAATTGAGAAGAGACGTTTACAGTCCGAATCATTGAAGTAAAATGAACAGTCTGACCACTTTGCTTTTCGAACATTTGCTTCAATGAAACACTTGTGAGAGGCAAGGGGACTCACAGTAATCAAGCACCCCGAAGGGAACAAATTACTACTACGTCCACGTCGTTGTTCCTCGGTAAAGCTAAAAGTAGTTTAAGAATGCATTGCAGGAAGGTAGACGGTGTCACATGATAGCGTTTTCAAAAATATCAAAAAATTTACTTTGATGTTCCTAATCTGTATTTTTTTGAGATATTACCATTTTTCAACAATTTTCAACTCATTTTCATTTTTGCCGATTACAGCGCCATCTATCATGAAACGAAAAAAATTTCTCATACAAAAGTTACATATTTTTTCACGGAGAATCCAAATCTGCAATAAAAAATAGGGGTTTCTATCTAAGATTTCAAAGTCACCCCCCTCTCGCCCCCGGGGGTGGTGCAGGGGGTCGAGCTTTATGTTAATGGATGTCCCTCTTCGAGGTGAACAACTTTTATTGCAACTTTTTTTAAATCCGATTTGTATTTTTCCAAATATTCTGAAAAACAGTTTTAAATGCCTCACCCTGTATATCAAATAATTACCTATCACAGAGATTACTCATTGAGATAAGTAGGTAACAGGTTTTCTACGACTGTTGTAAGTTTTTCTATAAAACTCGTATCCATTCGGTATTATTAGTGGCTAGTACAGCAGCAGAATCTGCAAACTTCTGCATGGCATGTGCAATTTCAGTAATTGCAAGCGCCATTATTTTAGAAGCCTCTGCTTGAACTTGGGTTGATTTAGCATGCAAACATTATATACATATTTCACATGAATTAATTATATAATTTGTTTTTAAAAAACCATACATGTTATGTCAATTAAAGATTTTTTCTTACCGACTCAGCATCGGCCTGCTGCTGAGCAATAAGTTGGAAGTGCTGCCTCGATGAATTTAATTGTCCAGCCTGTGTAACTCGATTAGCTCCAATAATTAAGATATCATTAAAATTGTATGTGCAGCTGTTACTGAAAATTTATCAAAAACAAACATAAAAGATCTTTTCGGAAAACAATTTTTTTAATTATAATCTACAAAATAAGATTTGAGCCTTACATCTTCTCTTCGATATAGTGGACGCATAACTATTTTGTGAACTACTTGATTGGCTAGACACTGGAATTTGATACGGGGTATTTCTATTTGACTTAGAGGATGAAATAATAGTAGTCTTTGGAGTCTTTCTGGATTCGCAGGCAGTGAGATCCTCAGTAGCATCAAGATCTTTTACTTCATTTATTGTGTTATGTTCTAATGAAAAGTCATTATCTAGTAAAGAGTCGTTATTGGGAATTAAGTCCTCATCACTATTATGTAAGGAATTAGCTGCAAATAGAAAAATATATCGCACTTTGAATATGTTGGTGTTGAAAATTAGCAGCGTCGATAATATTTATGTTTCATGTCGTTTAAAACAAATCAAAGAGCGAATTTCGAAGTAACAAAAAATTAAAAAACTTTTTTATTTACCTATTATTATTCTCACTGCACCGTATATGTCACTATATAATTACTATTCCAATTACGATTATTATGTTAATATTGTTATAAATGCATACTAATTGTGTTATAACTGTATTTTATTTCATCAACTTGTAGAATCTGTTTGTAATTTAATTTTTCTACCATTTACTTTATTGCTATTAGAAGAAAGAGTCTTCTGAAGAATCTTTCTTATAATAGCAATAAG